CCCGTGCCTTGAAGATGGCCTCCAGATTAATATTACTCCCAGTCTGAAACTGGAGCAAACTGAATCCAAACTTGGGCTCCACCAACACACATTCACGCTACCTCCCCTCTCACAGGAGGCCTCTTCCACTCTGCCCCTCTCTCACCAGGGCCTCTGGCATACTGCCCATTACCAAGACACATTCCACTGCCCTGCTCCTCCTTGGGTGGCCCCTCTTGGGCCATCAGGCTTCGCTACTCTCATACTGGCCTTGACACACAGCCCCTTTGGTTCCCACGAGTTCCCCTACTCTATGTGGTCCAGCCTTATGCCAAACCCTGGGCTAATTCTGCCCCAAGCCTCTCACCGGATACAACTTCTCACATGGCTGGTCCTCGCAATGTCCTTCAAGTTTACTCTCATTCAACCGTACTCAGCGCACCCCTTGGGCTGTCCTTCAGGTCTACTCGCACTTTAGCCCTACTCTGGGGTCTCCGGGATCTGTATCCCTGCTGGGCTCAGGCGCCTACATGTGAGCATACCTCGCCCCCGCTACTTCCCCAGCTGCTTCCAAAACCCACCCGAAGATGGGAGCTGGGGTTAAGGCCATCACCTTTCACCAGGGTGGTAACTGGCCTGGCATTTCCTGGGGACTCCTGCACCACCAGGAGCCCCACCAGGCCTCCCTTCCCCAGCATGGTGCATTTTTAGGTCATGCCCAGGACCAGGACCAGGAGCCTCCAAACCATCCCCATAAGCTCTTGCCCTTACCTCCAAGGTTGTTCTGCTGCAGCTCAGCTAGGCAATGTTTCTGCCTCTCCTGGTTGCAGCAACTGTAGACTTTATATGCCTTGTTCAAAATGGTTGCCCTCATCAGGCACCTGGGTAGCTGCCTGCCTCTGCCCTTAAAGTGGGAAGCACCCAAAGGTGCCCTGCCACACCATATTTAAATAAAAATAAGTATTCTAAATCCATAAGGGTCTGTCAAAAATACTACATATTTTTTCATGTATAGGAAGAATCAGAGGGGAGTAAAATCTAATTTTTACACTTTTTATGAATATTGTAGAATAGGTCAAGTATTGTATCAAGAGCTTGCTCTTGTGGAAGATTCAGGAGCTCTGCTACCAGGACAAAGAGACTGACTAAGTCATCACTGGCATTAGGATCCAGTCCCGGACTGCAGGAGAAAGCATTGTATACTTATATTAAGTTTATCCACTGAGCCTACATGGGTGGTCCACAGTCTTACTGCATCTCCCTAGCTGAGCTCAGTGTTGTAATTATGAATATGCATGACCCCACGATGAAAACTTATTCTCTCCAGTTCATGGAAGAAACGCCACCCAGTAATTAACAGTCCTTGCTTGTGGTTCTGAATACTTCAAGTAAACTATATTTGCTGTCTCCTTCCATGTCTTCACAGAGAAGCAGAGATAGAAACCAGTTTTCTCAACTATTTCCCCATCTCTAAACTAATAAAACAATGCAGTGCAACAGGTATATGGGTTACACAAGCATTTTAGAAAAGAACTGAAGTACAAAAAGGTTAGCTGATTAAGATAAATTATTTAAATCTTTCATTTATATCAATCTGCCCTAACCAAGGGGTCCTGGGTTCATGACTGGGGCTTCTAGACGCAATATGAACAACAAGGATCAGCCCTAGGTATTTTTCCAGCCTAGTTTCAAAATAACTTGTTAAAGACATTTATTTTTAAAATGCACTTGGGAGATGAATATTAAGGAGAGAGAAGAGCTTTACAGGCTAAAAAATAGTAACAGCACAAGATTAAATGTCTATTTAATTCGAACAAACAGCAACGTGTTGGCTGCCGCGATCCCCCTGCTTTACCTGTGGAAGATTAGGGTGTTATGTCTTGTGTTGTGTAAGGGTTGACTCTGTAATTTTGCTAAGGGGTTAGACAATGGATTTGTGATTTGGATAGGGTTGATCCTGGCTTAGGCAGGGCATTGGACTATATAACCTCTTGAAGTCCCTTACAGCCCTACTTCTCTGATTTTATGAAATTCAGATAAGAAATTAGAAGATTTCTGCCCATCAGAAAAGTAAAGTTTTGGAAAAGTGCTTGGGGTAAAGAACATGAATTGCTTCAAAACTGAATATAAGCATATGGAAAGGACAAGGGCATAGATTAGGAAGTTCTTGGATCAACAAATTGCATGCATGATATATGGATTCAAGCACCTGCAATCTTCATGTTGGGGTATGGAGGTAAACACATTGAACTGCATAGTAGGTGCCTGTAAAATCTCATGCATCTGCAGCTATGGAAAAATTTTCTTCCTTTCATGTGGTACTTGACCTACTTTACCTCCTCTTCTGGGGCCAAACCAACCACCAAATATAGGCTAAGCAAGGAATCCTGTTCCCCATCTGCATCCTGCAACCCCAGCTCAGGTTGACAATATTAACCAATTTCTTCCCTGCATTGCTGTGGCCATTATCTCCCATTCTTTTAATCTATCTCTGTCTTTTGTGATCTGTGAGAGAGTGTATGAGTTTGCTTTCGGATATATTTAGGAATCCATAGTTAAACAATACTCCTATGTAAATCTACATACAGGTAATACCCAAGGAAACATAAATAAGCAAATAATGTAAAACTTTCTGATAAAATAAGGAAGATAAATCACATGTTGCTTAGAAAGTAGAAATGCAGTTCCATCTATTGGTGCTGAAGCATTAGCTTTAGCTTCTGAATTTCATTCCATTCACTGTCTTATGCCATGTTTTAACTTTCAATAGAATTTTTCTTTTAGCAGTTTGTAAATGCATTTAACTAAGTTATGTAAAACAGCTACAAACTGATTTTAAGTGGCTCCATAAAGTAAAACAGATTTGGACTAAACCTGTGCAAAGAATGTATGTGTAAAAGCCTGTATGTTGGATTCCCTGCCTCCAAAATGAAGAGAACAGCAATCTCTTCCCAGTAAAATGTGTTAAAAATTAATGTTGTGAGACTAGTTTAACAAAAAGAGCTACTTATGTGTTAAATATTAAGAATAATGTAGTGGTGCAAAAACCTGAAAACCCTCTCAATTAACAGTTTCTTTCATGCCCACTTCTCCTGAAAACAAAAGTTCTATTCTTTCATTCAATATTTACATGTTTTTAGTGTTCAGAGTTCCAAAATACTTTTTTTTTCCCCTTAACAAAGTAACATAAGAAACTGTGCACTACCTGGGGGAAAGGGGAGGGAAGAGGGGAGGAATACCATCTTCTATAAGACTCTATTCATCAGGAACAATATATCATATTGTGTCTATGTTTCCCCTTAATACAGCTTTCAAAATATGTATGTATTTCCTGTAGAACTGTCCACTTTTACGCTTAGATTTTTTTTTTATCCATGCAGTCTGTGATGCAAGTGTTTTACTGCTATAGGACTGAGAGAACAATACTGAATACTGTAGGGCTTATGGGCTTATTAGGTTACCTGTTCAACTAATTAGCATGATTATGCAATTGGCTGTTTTCCAATAAGATACATTTGATAAAAACCTAAACGTCATCACAACATTTAACATGTAATCAAAATCACCATCACCTTTCCCTGGGAAAAAAGTTATTAAGCAAAAAGTGGTGGACCCTTATTCTCAAGTACTACATTATAACTACCACTAGTGAACTGCCCATCAAGAATGACTGTGGATGGGAGGTGTGGGAACGGACAGCCATCACCCACCACCCTGCACCGCCGTCGCCTCACAGGAGTGGTGGGGTGGGGGAAAGGAAGTTTGCACACCGCCACCCAGTACCCTGTGCTGCTGCCACTCCACATCCAGCTGCACCCCCCCACACCTGTCATTCTTGACAGGCGTTCTTGACACAGCACTGGCTGGAGCCACATCCCAGCAGGAGCAACACCCCTCAAGAAGGTTACAGACAGACAGATGGACTAAGCTCTTATATATATATATTCTCCCAGTCAAGAGCTTTATGGATCCGCTTCCCATACCCTCTCTCATTACCACTGTTTCTTACTCTGGGGTTTGCTGCAGATACTATATTTATTCAAACCTAAGGCAAGATTTCTCCTACAAAATCAGCACGGGGGAAACAGCCCCTTGTCTTAGAGTCATGTACAAAACAGAGGTGAGGCAGGCAGCTGCTGTAGCTATAACTGTGGACCTGAGTCCATCAGACCCACAGCAGCCACCCACCCCTCCTCGCCCCCCTCGCCCTTCTGCAACTTCTGCTCCTGATCTCACTCTGGCCCCTCTCCCCACTTACTGTCAGGCACAGCTTGCCATGGAGCACGTGGATTTCTGTCCCCTGCCTGGCCAATCAGCAGTGCTGATGCTGCCATGTTGCCTGGCAAAGGCTTCCACATGTTGTGCTTCTGGAGGGAACAGAGCCTGAGTAGAATCTGACAGTAAGGGAGGGTTGCGGGAAAAGGGAAGTGAGGCTGGGGGGTGAGGAAAGAGGCAGAGACTGGGGCAAATAGCAGGGAGAGGCAGAGACTGGTGCGGAGAAGAGGCAAAGAATGGAAAGGAGTGGAGGGGAGAAGTAGAGACTGCAGGAAGAGACTGGGAAGCAGCAGGGAGGTGCAGAGACTGTGTGGAATGGGGAGGAAGAGGCAGAGACTGTGGGGAGCAGGGGATGAGGAGGTGCAGGTGGCAGGGAGGGCAGGAGCTGCATAACCCCACCAGCCACTGCTTTTCCTGCTATAGGGGGAAGGGCACACACATTCAAGACAGCCTTCTGATCATTAGATTCTATACCTGGAAAATTATAACAAATTTATAAATTTTCCAAATGTATAATCTAATTGGGGTGGTCATCCTAAAATTGGGGTCATCTTAGATTCAAGTAAATATGGTAAATGGAAAATGCTTGGTTTGTTTTTTTAATGGTAAATTGCCTCTTTCATCTGCCAAATAAGCAAACAGGAGTCTGAAAATCATTTTAGGGACTAATATTTAAAGGCATTTACCTTTGAAGAGGGTACTGCTGTTGAACCTGATGGGGATGCATCTCTTGATGTTTTCAATGACTGACCTGAAGGCCTTTCTTTACCTTAAAAAAAAAAAAAGCAATAGAATGTTAAAGTTTTGCCCTACATACATATTCATTGGCCTTGCAAAACTGTAAATGAAGATTCTGTAGCCCATTAATAAAAAATATTTTCTCAACCCTCTGATGACAATAATCTAGTGATATTCCCCTAATTTATCAAAAATAAAATAACCTGCTTGATGAACCAATGAATGGTAGAATTTTGTAAACATAATATACTTAAGAAAGCATATTTTCTCTCATTTCCAGCTTTTCATTAGAAGACTACCATTTTAGAAGACTACCATTAGAGGCCTACCATTTTGAGTTGGTAGGCCAGTATCATTTTATACTGCTGGAACAAAACTGAGTAACAAGTGAAATTAGAAGTTCTATAGCTTTTCAATCTAACACTTTGTTTGATCACTAATCGCGGAACCTAAAAGAAAACTTCGGACGGACAAGCTTAGCAGGCATTGGGATATAGCCACATGGAGTCCAAATGACAGGAGAGATCCTTTGTAGTATTAAGATTTTATTCTGAATGTTGAAGTCAGCAAAGGTTCAACAGTACACATAGAAGTTACTATTGTAACCACAAGTTCAAGAGTAGCTTTTCCATTTCTGACCATCTGTATGCCTGCTGGGTGTTAGGGTGGCAGAAGAAGCAATAGGATAGAATTTATCACTTTGTGGCAGTCCAGGGTCAGCAACAAAACCATATACGCACAGACTCAGGCCTATCTCCCCAAGGAAGCTAACTGCATAGCTAGTGTGCTTGGTCACTCTTTATATGCTCTGAAGGAAGGAGAAGTCAGTGTGTTAACTCTTCCTCCATGTCAAGGCCCCTCACAAGCTGTGGCTCCTTGTTACTACGGATATCAACAGCAGGTCCTGGTCTTGCATTCAAAGGAATGGAAGGTACAATGTGTTGGGAAGTACCATTTATAAAACCAATTACATAATTTAGTAGCATGGATTTTCCAGATCATCAACTGTGATGCTAGTGGACAGCAAGTATCCAAGAAAAACAATGAAGTTGGAACTTGTTTGGCAGGAATAAAGAACTATATGCAGATGTCATGGTTATGTATACATGTGTGGGTGAACCATATATCCTGGCTCACATAACCAAACTTCTGTGGAACAGATTCTTGCTTCCCACAATGCTCCCAGAACAGGGTAAGCCTCATATAGCTACTGCTGTTTGGCCATTTTGTTTTGGGTATTTACCTGAGCCCTCAATAGGATTTGGTCCTTTATCTTTATTTTAAAAATATTAACAGGACGTGATCTTTCATCATATTTTTCCAAAGCAAAGATTTCCTATCAAATTATATTCGAACAATGTTCTGATCAACACTATTTAAGCCCTGTTCATTCATCAAGTAACCCATTTTAAAATTCAATCACCAAAATAAGCATATTTAGAAATAACATTTTTCAAGACACAAGCCATTTTAAATAAAGAAATCCTGTGTAAACCAGTGTAAGACATTATATCCAGGTTTAAGAGTGGATATCTCACTATGGCTAATAGTTTCTGCACTACAGAGCTACATACCAGGCTAATTTGTTACTTGTATTTTAATGAGACAACACTATGACATACAATTTGACTGTATATTAATGAACATAATGCATTACAAAAGGACACATTTTTGCATAAATTGGGAAAGTATGTCTCAACATATGCAGCATTTTTCTGTAATTTCTATTTAGCCTGACAGCATTAGACAAGTGGCTATTCCAATATACTGCCAGAGTTCAAATAAATCTGCCTAAACTTATAGAATGCTCTGAAGTTTTCCTACAGATTTTATAGCTTCCCTCAGAGATGGTCTGTATTTCAGTGGTGGATGAAGTAATTCCTTAGTTAATTAAATTCCTTGGGATTAGCATCCCAAAACACCTAAAATAAAGATCAGGTAATAAGAATCTGGATGAGGTAATCAGGAGAAGAAACAAAAAGTTCACTGCCAAAGCAGACAAAAGAGTTTGTGCAGTTTCATTAGAAAGTACTTGTGGAAAGACATCTGTATACACTTGCATACTTTATAGAAATAATGGAAGCAATAAAGTTTGAAAGAAAACATGGATTCTACTCTACTGAGATTTGCAAGCTTATTATTTACGGAGCTTTGGAACATTTTAAATAGATAAAGATCACCTCTCTGACCTTTGAAAAATCAGGCCATAAATTGGATGATTTAGCTTTAGATGGAAGATTTTGCATTGCTTTGAGGGAAGCAAGATTTGAAGACTCAAAATGTGATGAAATCACTAAAAACAATTAAAGGACAAACATTAAAGCACTAACAAAGTTTTAAGAAATAATCTCACTGTTTTAAAATGTAAAAAATAACATACTTTGTATATGGTTCACCCCTATTTTTTTTTCCTCTTTTCTTCCTGGTCACAAGGAGAAACAAGTAGAAATCTTCAACAAGAATTGGTGATGGCAAAGTTGCTTGTATTGGGATCAATAAAATACCATCAGGAAAGAGCAACAGAAGCACTTGATGATAATGGAAAATATGCTGTACATGGAAAAGCCATGAAAACTGAGATGCCTACAACCAGCCTAGAATTGTTATTGAAAAACAAACACTTGTGTGGTCCCACAAGAGACATTAGCAAATATACATAAGGGAAGAGAGAGAATTCTGTGCTACACAATGTCAAAGAAGCAGCAACATATTGTTGCAATAAAAATTCTAATGTCGTCATTCTAGAAGGAGGAAATATAAAGAGAAAGATCCTATATAAAGGAATCAATTTCACCTCACTAATCAGTTTTCATCATTAATCCAGCATTACCTTGCTGAGAAGAAATATTTCTTTTATGTAAAGATGACATACTTCTGCTATGCTGGGACTGGTGGAAAGGATAGACTTTGCTTCTTTCAGGGGAGTAGCTCCTACTGCTGACACTGGACCCAGATCTGCTGTGTGGAGAATCTCTTCTGTTCACAGGTGATTCCCTGAAGAAAGGAGAGTCCCTCTTATGCGGGGATCTCTCTCTTATATAATGAGAAGGGTAGAAGCTTTTTCTTCTGAAGCCATCTCTGATGTCCCTTTGGAAGTAACAGAAAAATAAAATTAATAACTTCTCTTTATTCTTCTTATAGACACTAAAGAAATTTAGAAGTCCATAAATAGGTTAAAAAGGCAACTTTTCAACCCTTCATTAAGAAGAAAAAAGGGAACTTTTAAATTAATAGGCAATTTAGGCAAAATAAAACAAACAAAAAAGATATCCAAGTAGTAGCATACCATATTTTCTCACATACAATACAGCCCCAAATAAAACACTTGTTTTTGGAAAGCAGAATATAGAAAAAAAAGATTTTTCCAGAGCTGTAGCCGACTGTGTGATAGAGCATATAGGAAGTGTGGCATCCCAAGAAACAGTCTTGGTTCAAGCAGCAAAAACAACATATTTCCTGGAGGACTTGCTTTTTGGCTAGGGACAGACATTACATATAAACCGATTTAAGTGATCAGAAACTAGTTTAAATCTGTAACAGAACAGATATTCAGTGCACATAAACCAGTTTGAAAATGGCTGAAACCGAATTGAGATAAGCTTTGTTGAATGTAGTATCAGACTTAATTGATTTGGCTCAAACCGGTTTATGCAATGTCTGCCCCAGACTCCTTGCTGGTTTAAGATAAACCAGACACCCCCAGCATCCCAGATGCTTTGCAGCCCTGGACGGGGCTCTCTGCTCCACAGCAGAGCTGGTCCCACCCCTCTGTTCCCTGGCTAGAGCTCCAGCAGAGATTTGCAGGGTCTGCCTGGCTTCCCCCTGCCCCATCATGCAGAGATCCTTCCCTCCTCTCTCCCACAGCATGGATCAGAGCCAGAATGTGCTATGCTAGCTAATGCTGAGAGGTGTCTGTGTAAGGCAGATAGGACAAAGGCAGACAGGACAGTGTCCACTTAGGGCTTTTTGGAGATAATCAACAGACAGCTGGTAATGTCCCTCCATTCCTTCCTTGGAAAAAGTTGTTTAAGAAGAGCTTGAACTAATGAGAGAGGCTTTTGTTTTGCTGATGGCCTGATAAATACTGTGCAACTCACTGCTGTGTAAGCAAAGGCTGTGTAACTCCCTACTCGCTTCGTCCCTAGTCAGAGGAGCACCGAGGGGGCAGGGGGGAACCCCTCCTTAATCCTGCTGGGGCCTGGCCGCATCCCCCCCCCCCCAGCTCAGCACTTTAGAAGGGAAGGGAACACTGTTCTAGCACCCCCTGGCTTCCAGCCTGAGCAGGGGGCAGACACGTGCCTGCCTTTCTTCAGTCCAGAGGGGATGTCTGTACAGTTACAAACTGGTTCAGCCTAGCCAAGTTACACTAACCTGCAAAGATTGAATCAATTCAGGCTCAGGCTTTTTGAATGTCTGTCCCTACTTGTATGTAGTTCTTTATACAAGTTCCTGTAAATAAAGTGTTGTTTCCATCTCACAATTCTCATCATATTACTAACAGCAGCTCACTTGCTGCTTCAAGCACAAGCTACAGTGCTCAGCCAATATCTAGGGTTTTAAAAGGGTTAACACAGGGCTCTGTCCCTTCAGCTTTCTGAGCCAGAGAAGAGACAGCCATCTTGGCAGCTGCATGGCAATCACAGGGACAGCCTTCCCACTTAATAAACACAGCCCAATTTAGGAGGGGATGATTTTGGGGGAAAGGGTGCATATTATATATGGGAACATATGTGAGAACATACAGTATTTTCAAATACACTGCAGTCATATGAGCATTTCACATTTTATTTTTTTTCTTCAAATTCACTTCCATTCATGCTGGCCCTCATGTTGGATACTATCCATGTTTATTTTTAAAAATTAAACTAACTAAAATAGGACTCAATACAGTACATAAAGCACAGTTCACAGTCTTTCACTGATGTAACCTCAATATGCAAAGCCATTTGTCTCAAGTATTCTGATAACTGTAATCTCTTGCTGTGTTAAATCTCATTTTGGAGTTTGAGCCTATATCCATTAAGGTCAATGGCAAAACTTAATGCTAGATTTTCACCTAGTATAATGTACTTTCCTTGATTTCAGTGCAGCATGCTGGTTCATAACATCTAATGATATAGTCCCTAATATGTAAGATGCCTAGAATGTCTGTCATATTAAATGGTCTATAAGTGGCATTGACACATACAACATTTCTTAAAATAATTTTGTTTTCAACTGTAATGATTGCAAGATTACTATAAACTAAACTTTCCACTAGGCAGGATTTGGATATATTCTGGGTTATAAACAAAGCACAGTGGTTACATTCAAGTTCTGTTAAAACATATGTGAGCCCAAAAACCAGTAACAAATTCAATCTGAAAGTTAACAACTGCCACCACTAAATATAGATCTGAAACATCCACATAGGTTAGAATTTACAGTGAAGAGATGTGAACAGCTTCCTTTTATCACTATTACAGAGCCAGAGGATAACAGAAAAAAAAAACCCAGCATTTGAGGGAGTTATAGCTTATTTTATCACTTTTATCCTTCCTTGTTTTAGGTCAATATTAAATATGTGATGTGCAAAGATCAGTGCAGAAGCTATGCTCTGATTTACCACAGTATAGCAATAGCTAATTTACATTGCTGTAGAAAAAAGAGCCTCTTATTGTACAGGTAATAAGTATTTAATTAAAGAATTCTCTACTTGGAGGAGTGTGGGAGGGGGCGTTCTGTACTTTTGCCATCACAGTGATGTTGCTGCACTAGATCCAAACCCATTATACAGATATGATTTACACTAGTGTGGCTTCCAAGTGCAAATTTTTTTACACGGTGACACAGATCTAGTGGTTTATACCCATTTAAGAACACGAAAAAAATCCTCATTAGACAAATCCTCAAGTTTATTGTGTATAACAGACTGAAAAACTACATCAGTAGTAACATCCACTGTTATTTCTGATAGTTTAAATTTAAAAAACAACAGCCTGAGAAAGCAGGAGATCTAATTAAATATACAATGTGAATGTGTGCAGATATGTATTAAAAATGAGAAATTATTCAATAGATTTTAACAGGTATTCTAGTTAACAAACTGTCAGTGTTTCCAGATACAGTCCCACATGAAGTTTCATATTTTCTAAGCTTTAAAAGTATATTATTTATCTGGATTGTCTTTAAAGGATGTTTGAATACACTGTTAAAAATAGGGGCTGTTAAGTTGTTTATATTATCATGCTTATAAGAAAAAAATTAGAAAGCTGCTTCTCAGGCATACTCAGAGATTTAAATGGTTATTCTGGGCAGTTGAAAATTTCAATAGTGTATGAAAACAGACAGCTTTTGATTTTTTTAAATAAACAAAGTGCAAGCTTTCAGGCAGACTTGTACACCACGTTACTGCCCAAAGCAAATTTTTATGGGCAAGTTATTAAGCCCCTTTAAACAGAGAAGTTTATTTGGAAATGTTAGCAGAGCCCCAACTACTGCATTCCTATAGCATATGCCCTAACACTCATGGAAGCATTTAAAAAATACAAGCAAACTTTTTAAGGGGAAGAAGTAACTTTTTAATGCAATATTTTAATAACATTTATTAATATATTTTATCTCCATGTAACCTAGTCTACATACACAGATAATCCTGGAGACAGATCACTTATGAAATTTTAACACTGAACAAAATAATTTTCCTCTTATTTGATATTAAGAGTAGCTGTAGGAACAGCTTAGTCCTGAGTGCTACTTCATTTATCCATTATTGCCAGCATGACTAGAGGCAACATTTCAACACAGAACAAATAAAGTTGACTTCTGCACTCCTAGAAGGAGGGTTGGCAGCCATCAGGGGACCTCTTCAAATGCCAGTGGTGCAGAACTTCTTCCAACCTTCAACTATCCATCCCATGCTGTTGCCACCCCTTTTCCCAAGCCTCAGGTAAAACTAATGCAGGCTTTGAATTTTCTACAATCACACGCCATCCCACATCTCCATTACATGAGCTAAAGTAACTTTTATTTGCTTTGTGGGCTAAGCCCAGGAGGACATTGCCCATACTTTGCCAAGTCAACAAGTAGGACTAGTGATCAGAAATCTAGCACAGCTAGCTGCTTACAGACATAACCCCCCCCCCCCCGAAAATGGTGCTTTACTTCAAATTTGGCATGCTGATGAGTTGAGCCCACAGCATGCCCAGAAGAGGCATCACGTTAGTTGGACCCAGCTTGTCCAACATCTGTATAGATCAGGTCCATTAGTGGGGGAGGTTTGGCCCTTTTATCTAACACCTACTTGAATCAGCATCAGATAAAAGCACCAAAAAGCCCTGCTGAAGTGCCTGATCTATACAGATGCTGCAGAGCCAGTCAAACTAACACAGTGCTTCTTCTGGTAAAGGGTGGCTTTTAGTTTTTCATGTCTATCAGCAGCCTGTATGACTGGCTTCAAGAGGGATGGAGGATTAAAGCTGTGGTTCATATAGAATACAAAAGCATTCTCGCACCGTAAAACAGCGCCAGTTGAGTACATTCAGGTCACGTCTTTGTGCTGTACTGAGAAGCACATCCCTTTAACTCATGCCTCCTCTGCATGCCCCAAACCCAGGACATCAAATACGCATCTGCCTCAGAGCTGTCTGAAAGGGTATTTATACCTGAAAACTTGCAAAAAAAGAATTTTTCCAACTATCTTAGTTGGTCTAATAAAAGATGTCAGATTTACCCAAAGAACTTTGCCTGCCTCTGTGCTTAGACCAACACAGCTACAACCTATACCCCTGTAGATTAGATTCCAAACTTTGCCTGAAGTGTACTTGAACAACTTCCCAATTAACTTATTTCCTGTCCTGTTATAACATTCATATTAAAGTAAGCAGACAAGGTGTGATATTTTAATTCAGTTTCCTAATTTCCACCCTACTTTCTGTCTCGCTTCCTTTTAGACTCCTGATTACTTTGATGGAAAGTATCTCTGTCATCAACAGAACATTGCCTGAATTTGCAGTGCTGACACATGAAATGCAAAAGATCAACATTATGCCTTCCAAGCTGAGTTTCCCCAAAACATTTTCCATTTTAAAACACCCAAAATGTATTAA